AAATCGCAGAAGCTCTTGACAAAACACAGTTTGAAGCGGCTTTGCTCAAGGTGGAACACTTGGTCGCTGACGGGGCATCTCCAGAACAATTGTCTATTCGTGAGGCAGCTACAGGTCTCAGCAGGGCCAACAACCCCCAGCATGAAGAACGTTCTGAGCCAAGGCTTCCCGAATGTCAAGGCCAGTGGCGTTATTTGAAAATCAGATGGTTGGCATGTTAATGTAGGTTGAGTTGTGCCAGGCTGTATCGCGGGACAGGGCCCACGCTGCCAACAGGACCTTGTCAGCGCCTGTCCAGGTTTGACCGGTTGTGCTCTGCACGTGTTTGGCCAATCTTGCTTTGTATGCTGTCCACCTGTCCGGCTTTGACCACTTTTGCTCCACACAGAACGCATTAGGAGCAAGTTGCCATGATAAGGCGCAGCGTTTCTTTGGTGACATTTGCCCAGGATCCTTTCACGTCCTTGGGACACAGACGACTTTGTCAAAGCAGTCATCCACCAGTTTGTGGAGAAGGACAAGTCAATATCGAAGTTGATATCTTACAGCCCCAAGATCCAAACAATGTATGCTGATAACCGTGCACGATGTCAAGATGGCGCACGCATTTCTGAGCGTATCCAGGACTGCTTGTGCATGATTTGGTCAAGTGTTTTGTTTGTTGCCTTTGTTGATGCTTTGCTTGGCTTACCCAGGACTTCTGCTATGCCCCCCAGAGGTACAGCTCCACTGCTAAGGTTCTTGGTCGCCTTGTGCTTACTCTGGACGCTTCTTTGGCAACAGCTGCTCAGGTGGTCATGCAGCGCGGTGCCTCATGCGCGGAAGGGCGCGCTTGCATGGAACTTTTCGAGTTCTTGTCTGATGAAGTGATTGTGCAGTTGGGAATGCTGGCAGACTATGCCATGCAGATTCAAGGGCTTGTGCGGATTTGTGATGATGAAGAGCTCGACGAAGCCGAGCTGCCACAGGACATCATGGCTCAGGAGACAGTGTTGCGCAGCTTGTTCCTCGACAAAGCCTGTTTGAACTTTCCTGGTTTTACAAAGGTGGCCTTGCAGACTTTGAAGCGGCCAAGGACTTTTGTGTTGCGAGCAGGCTTTGTTAAGACATTTGGGTCTGCAGCTGGTGTGTCTCAAGCTGTGGTGGACCAGTGCTTTTCTAGGATGCGCCCTATCATTGAGGTGTCTTCGAAGGTCATAGCTGCAGAATATCCTGAGCATGATATTTTGCATTCCTTCCATGTGTTCGCCCTCAGTGGGCGGAGCGGAAGGAGTGACCTTCATGGCCAAAGGCGGTCAGAAGGGCAGAATGAAGGCTTGTCATGCCTAGCGCGGGTTTTTGGCATTTGTGAGCAAAGATTGATTGAGCAGTTTCATCGTCATGAGCCATATGCTGCAGAGCATTCTGCTCGAAGCAAGGGCACTACCATTGCCAGCTGGCGCGAAGCAATCAGCAGACTTGGCAAAGGTCGGAAGGGCAACACGGCGGACGAGTTGACCATTGTTCTCATTAGGTACGGGGCATGGGTTGCATCCACCTGCGATGTGGAGAGAAACTTCTCGAAAACATCGGCCCTAAGAGGAGGGCAATGTAATGATGAGTTTCTCGACAGAGAGGAGAATGTGATCGTTCTGCAAACCGCCCCCCACTTGAAGGAAGAACTCGTCCCTGCTGCAATTCGGGTTTGGGTGAGGCACTTTGGCCGCCCTCGTCAGCGGAAAACGGTTCGCATCGATGCTGGAGTTCCACGAAAGAAGGTGGCTTGGCATCAGCGCGCGCGCGCATGCGCACGTTGTTTGTAAGATCGAGTTCACTATTATTCTTCGTTGTTGTAGGTCCTTGTGGGTTGGCTGTGTTGCGGTAAGGCGCGTCAGGGAGAATCTGGTTTCATCCAGACCGTGTCGGCGGCGTCTAGATTGATTGTGGAAACTGCTGCATCAAAGGGCCAACACGGGCTGGCTGATGCAGCTGACCCAGGGACTGAGTTGAATGAAGCCCAATGCAAGGAAATTGCCTTCAATGAGCGGAAGCTGCAACTTGCAAAGGTTGAAGCTGCCCTCGCAGGTCACTTGAGCCCAGACGAGATCAGGGATGATCTTATCCATGCTGTCGATGGGCATGTGAATGCACTGGCAGCCAACCAAAAACTCCGCCGAGCAGATGCGAAGCGGCAGGCTCTTCACTCGAACAAGCCACCCTTGCAGCCGTCACGCAGGCAACAGGTGTTCGCAGTAGCGCCCCTTACCCGTGAGGAGTGCTGCAAAGTCAACGCTGACCTGGTCACAGAGATGGCTGACGCTGACGCATTTGTGGTTGCAGACCCTGCTGACCCCCCTAAAGTCGTGTGGTTTCTAGCTGGGCTCCTGGGCGCTTCCATGATCACAAAGGAACACCTTCTGTCTAAAGGGGCTGCAGGTGCTGCAGTGGCTTTCCACCAGGCAATCTCGATCAAGCGTTTTGTGCATTTCAGCTTTGCGTTCATGAATGAGCACCTTGACCTGTGCTCGCACATTCATCAAGTTTTGTGCCGCACAGACTGCAAGTGGCAGCTGCAAGCCTTGAGCGAGCTTGTCACAGATTGCGGCGCAGCTAGGTCTGAAAACAAAAGGCTGTACATGTTATTTTTGACAGAATCTGAGCTGTACAGCGGGCTCGGCAGCCCTCAGATTCCTAATCGGCTTACATTTTCCAGTGGCTTGACACATGATTTTGTTTGCAAGCTGTCTCACGGAAGGTGCCGCACTGGTGTTTGTGCGAACTATTGATGGCATGGGGTTGGCAACCTCTTATCCAACGACAGAAGCAGCAGCCAGATCAGAGTTTTTGTAGTTTTTGTTCAGATGAACCCGCAGATCCGCAGAGGCAAGTAAACACATTTGCACGTGCACGACTGTTCATTTGTCTTGTGTTTTCCGCGCCTTAATTGAACAGCCCCTTTCTCAAGGCTACTCCCTGAGGGCCCCGCAATGAAACATGTAGCAAACAAGTAGCTGGGGGTAGGGGACAAGCTTGGACGTTCTGAAGTGTTTACTTTGACCTGCATTTCCGCAAGGGTAAGTAAACAGGCTGGCACGTGCAACTCTGTTTACTTTTGCCGCGGATTTTTGAGTCAAAGTGAACAGAGGAAGGCTGACATTTGGCTAAGCGGTTGCGCGTGTTAAGGGGTTGCGCCCGGAAAATCTGAACAGCCAGGAACGTTTTTTCCTGTTCAGATTTTTGTGGCCCATCGCGCTTAAGCGGTTGCGCCCCACCAGCGACGTTAAGCGGTTGCGCTCCGCAAGTGCTGCTGGGCAGCATTGCCCCATGCAGCGTCCCCACAAATCCACCCAAGAAACAGTTTGCCTTAACAACAGTTCAAGATTCCCTGACCCACCCACGGGTATTTTGGTAACAAATCCCCCCACAGGTACTTTGGTAACAAAATCCCACCACAGGTACTTTGGCAACAAAATCCCCCCACAGGTACTTTGGTAACAAAACCCCACCACAGGTTCTTTGGTAACAAAATCCCCCCACAGGTATTTTGGTAACAAAGTCTCCACAGACAAATTCCCCCCACAGGTACTTTGGTAAACAGCATCCCCTCCCCTCACAGGTTCTTCGGTAGCAAAATCCCCCCACAGGTACTTTGGTAGCAAAATCCCCCACAAGTACGTTGGCAACAACATCTCCCAGCAGGTAACAAAATCCCTCCACAGGTATTCTGGCAAAATTTGCGCCACCCTTTTAAATATGGCAGCGCGCAATTTCCCCCGACAGGGCGCGTGAACTTGCAGGCCTTCGCTACCAGACAGCCGCACACACACACACGCAATCCGCGCGACATTGTAACAATTTTGATTCATGCCCCACCTTGCCTCTGCGCGGTTTTGTGAGGGCTTCGTTTTGTGCACTTCCTTCCCCCCAGATGAGTGAGGCCAATGCAAAATTTAAAGCCTTCCCTTTTTCGAGCTGTTTAGACTTAGACTGGGCCCTGTCCTGGTGCCAGTTCTAAACATGTTGGTTTGACAACGCAAGATGTGCCCAACGAGTAAGTTGCACTGTGATAGCATGAGCAGGAGTGTGGGCTTGTCATTGGCAAAGAGGTTGCGATGTATCAGCAGGGTGATGCGCATTAGCGCCAGTCAGTGCAATTAATTTGCTTTTGGCAGTTTATTTGCTGCGATGACCTGGGGGCAGAAAAAGCGCGATGCGTGCATATTATTCAGGAGATGGCTTGACTTACTCAAACCGCCAGCTTGTCACAGATAACATTGTAGCATTTTTTGCCTCACAGCACCAACTGAAAAGCTATGGGCAAGCGCGCTCGTGTGGAGGGGCCTGAGCCCCCGCCAAAGGCCAAGGCGAAGGGCAAGGCCAAACCAAAAGCCCGTGCTTCCATCGCTGCGCCGCTCCCAGAGGGCATTTCTGCACCAGCAGGCCTGCAACACATGAGGGGTTGGGTTTGGCTTGCTTTGCTTTTTGGAGCGCGTGCTTCCATGCCAGCATGCATCTTGTTATGTTCGGCAGGCGGGGTGAATGCAAACATTTGGCTGCAACACAGGGAGCACATGGAGAAGGTGTTCCATCATGCAGATTTTGAAGACACAGCCCGCTTGTTGCCTCCAACATCAGCAGCGGAAGGTGGCATCATGCGACCCTTTAACGAAAAGGAATGCTTGGACTCACTTCAGAATGCCGGGCAGTACATGGCAGCCATCAACATTCGCTGGCTGGATCCTTTTTACACCCCAACTGCTAATGTCCCAATGTCCACAGCTTGCATCGAGAGCATGAAAGGCCATTTCTTCAAAGACCCAGTTGTCGCTTCATGCGTTTTCGCAGACCTGCACTTGCAAGTGCCAGTGCTTCAAAGCAGCATTGACGAAGGAACTGTTGGGCCCAAAGGGACTTGGATGCACGTATCCCCCACAGAGTTATTGATCGCGTTTATGGCCAAAGTTGCAGAAAGTTGCGAAGACGCTGGCTGCAGCAGCTGGCGTGAAGCTTGGAAAAGGCACATGATTATTGCGCCCTGCTTGTTTGTCAAGGTTGCTCGCTTGGAGGACCTTGAGTGGAAGGCCTTGCAGCTGAGGGAGGACAACTCCCAGAAAGCCAAGCTCGCAAGAACTGCTGTTCAGCGTGTTTTTGAAATCATTAACCGCCGGGGTCAAAGCGGAAAAGCAATCTCTGCAGAGACTATGGAGCAGCTTTACTCAGAGAAGCTCAACATGGCAGAGAACAGTGAACCAGTGAGTGAAAACTGGGTGAAGACAGCATACGATCTGTGGGACAAAGCGCTTCACAAAGCCACTGTGCAGCAAGTGGTGCTGGCTGAGGAGGAGTTCCAGCCCAACTCCATTTTCAACACTCTTCACAAGATGCACGCTGTAATTGTGAAAGCCAGCACGCCGGCAGAGACTGAGTGGTGTTTCACAATGATGCATGACCAGCATGTTGCGGACAATCTTAAGCATGAAGACGTGACAGTCCGCATGTTGCTGGGCAAGCGCAGAGACGATCAGGGGAAAGGTTACTTGGATTTGTTGCTTTACAAGAAGAAATGCTTGCAGTTCCTCCTGGATGAAATCATGGGCCCTTCATGCCTGACAACAGAAGAGAAGACAGGCGTTCGCGATGTTTTGAGCAGCTGCAACAGCTACCGAGCGCATGTGCATGAAGATGATGCTGCTGAAGGTGCTGGAGATCAAGCGGCCTGGTTTGCGTTTCAAGTGTTGAGGCTGTTAGTTAAACTTTGATAACACGGATGGCCCCACACATGATACGACTTAGCTGTCGCATGCCCCAGGTTGCCAAGAATCAAGCTGAGACGGCTACCACGGCTGGTGCCTGGGCTTGGCGCGCTGGGTGGTCCATGGCTGCTGACAGCATGTTCACTCTCACCGAGGAGAACTGTGTTTGCTTCAACGCAACACCAGGTTCAAAGTGATTTGTGTATTGTTTGTTGATAAGCTTTGGCTTCAGGACCTTGTCTACAAGACCAAGCATGACGAGACTTTGATGTCCTCTATTCGCCGTTCACTTCCTGTCGCAGACGTGCTGGAGAAGGGCAGCTTGGAAATGCCAGTCAAGGAGCTTAAGGCCGCCCTAGAGAAATTGAAGCAATCAACGGTGCCTGGAGAGGCTGCGACAGCAACGCTGGCTGATGCAGCTGGCGTTTCTGCCAATAAGCAGGCAGACAAGCACTCGGCTCGCAAGGTTGTTTCTGATCAGTTCCTGGCCGAGCTGAAGCAACAGCTGACGCAGGAACAGTCCGAGCATGTTGATGCTGCTTTCACAAAGGCGCAGCGACTGATTGATGCTAACATCACCTTGGCAGTGTGGACTTCCTCGGAGAAGGAGCAGAAGGCTCTGTGGGCGAAGAGCCCTGCTATGAGGGCAACAGGGGCAGATGGTGAGAAGTACATCGGCTTTGTTTGGGACCCATGCCAACTGGGAGAGACAGTCACAAGTCCTCACCTGCGACTGCCGCCCTTGAACGGTGAGACGGTGAAGTCCACAATGCAGCTCCTGTTGGAATATCGCTCGCCGTGTCACCCAACTGTCCAGCTATCAGCTCATGATTTCTTCTTCTGCTTCGACGGTGGCCACACCGGCAATATGAGCAAGCTGATGCAGGCGTTTGTGGATGCGGATGGCAAGCCTGTTGATAAATACTCACATCGAATTGTTCTGTGCCATGATGAAGACAGCCTTAGGGAGCGGCGTGGATGCGTGAGGTCCAACCAGGTCTTTGATGTGTCAGAGGAGATGAGAGTGGTCAGCGGACGTGACCTTGCTTCCATGGGCTTACCATGTTTGCGGCGCATTCACTTTAGCGGAACCAACTTCGGCACAAAAATTGGAGACATTGTGATGCCCAACTTTGGCTTGGCCTGGCAGCTGCCATGCTCTGCCAAGCATGAGATCCATGGCACCTGGCGCAAAGCCGTGGGAGGTGTTGCCCAAGGCGATGACAATGCCGGAAGGGGAGTTAAGCGAAAGACAGCTGACACTGTGGAGCCAGTGTTCTGGCATGCTCGCCCTCTCAAATTCTGGCAGGAGATCACTCATAACTTCAAGCTGTGCGCGCTGGTGGATTTCGCTTGCTCGGATGGCGTGCTGGCCTTTGCCTGCGCGAAAGCACGCATCCCTTACTTGGGATACGCACTATCCACCCCTCATTTGGAGCAGGTCCGCTTGCGCTTGATTGAACAGGTCATGTCCAGCATGTGTGATGAAAAGGATCCCATGTATGACCCAAAACTGGCCAGCGTCAAGCAAGGCACGACATCATCTCAGCCTGGAGCTGCAGGGGTCGGGGGGAAAAGGAAAGGCCGAGGGAAGCAGAAGCAGCAAGAGCCCGCTGCTTCAGAGGCTTCTCCGCCGCCTTCTGCAGAGGAGATGGGTGACTTGTTGCTATCGTTTGAGTCACTTGAGTAAACTCATGTTTGGAAGCAGCTTCAATGGCCATGTGTCCCAAAGTGTCTTTGTTCTTGTGGTTCCACGTTCGAAAAAATAACCTTGTTGAAGTGATTTTGGTAGGTCATGGATGCCGGGGATGCTTGGCATTGCTTGGCAAACTCATGGACTGGAATTAGAAATCGCCCAATTGCAGGACAAGGAGAATAAGACTGAAGATGGCTCCAGTAGTGCCAGCGGGCCGCTGCTAGAGTTCCATCGCAAGCTGCAAGAGATCAAGAAGCAGCAGGCAGAAGGCGGGCAGTGATCAGCTGCAGCAGGTGGTCGCGCATCAATGAGGCTTAGAAGATATTGCAGGGCATGTTGGCTTGGCCCTGCCAGGGTTCCAAGATTATAACTAAGCTTCGGAAACTTTTGTTTGAGGCATCCAGGCAACGCTGCCAGTGAGAAAAGAAGAATCGCGCGCTGCACGGTGTCAATTTGCATCCTTGGTCATTGCCACATTGCCACTTTGCTTGTCATGCATGCAGTGTTGGTTGTCAACCAAGCAGGCTCAGATTTGCACAGAGCGCTGGAACTCTCAACACGCAAGCGGTCCGATTGAATCAGGAGGCCGAATTTTTGCCAGATCATAGGCATGTTTTGCGCAGGGACTGGTAGGCAATTTGCACCACTGCAGATACTGTTGGTTTCACACACGCTTGAGACGCCTCATCAATCGCCATGCCTAAGCGGTGCAGGGAGAGTGGGGAGGCGTTGAGTGCCACCTCTTGCAAGCGATCCGCGGCAGCTTCTGGAAACTCTACTTTGAATATAGCTGGAGACTGCAGCGGTTGGTGCACTGAAGCCCAGGCAGCAGAAGCTGTTTCCCAGTTGCCCGTTCGCCATTTGTTTGCTTCAGATTCGAACCCTGCCTGCCGCAAGCTGATTGCACATGCATTCAAACCAGAGAAGATCTATGCAAACATAACTGAGCGAAAAGTGCCCCAGGAAAGGGTGGACGTTTACACATCCGGGTTCCCATGTCAGCCCTTCAGCAGGGCTGGGTTGCAGCTGGGCTGGGAGGATGCTCGAGGGGCAGTTGCCCTGCATGTGCTTTCCTTCCTGGAGGTCGCGAGGCCCAGTGCATTTATATTGGAAAATGTGCCAGCCATGGCAACGGATTTTCCAGAGGCGTTCCAGGAGTTCATCAACATCCTGGCAGGCATCGGCGAGTCCAGCTACAAGGTCGACTGGACACTACTTTCGGCTCAAGTTCATGGAGGCCTTCCCCAAAGCCGCGACCGCTTATACATTGTGGGCCTGCAGAAATCCAAATGCCTTCGAAAGTTCAGTTGGCCACGCCCGCTACCTCGCGTCTTGCCTCTTCATGCTGTGCTGGCTGATGCAGCTGGCACAGATCAGGATTTCCAGAGCCTCAACAACACTTGCCGAAGAAACGTTGAACGTATGATGGAGTGTTTGCTGAAGAAAAAAAGCTTCGGAGATGTGATTCTAGACATGGGAGGCAGCACGCCTGCTTGGCAGGACGGGCGCTGCCCATGCATCACGGCTTCGCGTGGTAGTCAGCAGGGATACTGGTCAGCTCTTCGCATGCGCAAGCTCAGCATACCTGAGCTGCTCCGGCTGCAGGGGGCGTCCCCGAAAATCCACAAGTGTTTCCAGGACAAAGTTGTGAGCGGACCAGCTTTGGGGAAAATGGCTGGAAATGCCATGACAGTGCCGGTCTATGCCGCGGTCCTGCGTGAAGTTCTGAAAGCTTTGGGCTTGCCTGTGAAGAGTTGACATCCAATTCAAGCTTGCAAAAGCCAAGTTGAGTCTCAGTACTTGTGCCAAGCTGGTGTGAAGATATCGCTTGTGCATGAGCTGCGCTGGAAGAGTGCAATGATGGTTTCCAGAATGCCAGGGACCCTGTTGTGTTTACATGTACTTGCAGTCCATGCATGCTGTTTGGTGAAATATACTTTTCAATGTTCCCCAAGCTCCCAGCAATTCGGTTTCACACGTGTTCTCTGATTCTAGCTTCAACAGCGCTCAAGGATCATGCAACAAAGTGCACGTCGTGCCGCTGCTTGTCCAAGCTTTTTTTCAGTGCCCAGCTTGCTTTGGAGAAACTTGGGTGAAACTTAGGAGAGGGCATTTCTAAAATCCGTCTCGCTGACATCTCAGTGGCTTTGATCAACCAGGGCAGTCAAACTGAGGAGTACATTTCCTCCCAGAACTTCTGAAGATTGTTATTTCGAGCCAGGGCCTTTCCTGCCTGGGATGCAGAGATGCGGCCGTAGTTCGTCATCCACAATGCGGGCGAAGGTTTTGCCCACTTCTTTGTTGACTTCGTGCTGCTTCATGTCATTGATAGCACGGTGCCGGCCGCTGTGGGATCTAATCTGTGCCACCTTCAGAACTGGGCAACCCGCAGGCGCGTTGAAACTCTTGCGACTGCGTGCAATGGCCTTTGAAACAGTGTCTTTGTTTCTTTCTGCCGTCTTCGAATCTGAGCGGTCAGCAGGGAACAACAGACCATCCTGCTCCAGTGGCCATTCCCATTTGTCCCCCACATTCATTCTGCCTCTACAGCCAAACCCCCGAACACGTTGCACACTGATGCCCTCATCTTTGAAGCGGTTGAAGGTGGAAAAGGCTGCACAGCTCATTGTCTTTGTAATTGCTGCTTGCCCTTTCAGGGAAGAGATGGCAACAACCTTGTGTTCAAAATCAAAGTCTTTGGCTTTCAAACGCAGGACTTCGGTGATGCGACAGCAAAGCAAATGACTGCATGTCAGTGCCACATAAAGCCATGTTGGCCCCTTGTTTTTCACATGAGCAAGCCACGCTTGCCACGCCTGCCCTTCCAAAGGATCTGCCTGGCCAATGGCATTTTTTTTAATATTATTTTGTGTTTGCTTCTTGCTCTTCTTCTTCTTTATTGTCACGCGACGCCTGTTGCTTTTGGCGCCAGCTGCGGCAGCCAGCGCGCCCTTTGCCTTGGGAGCTTGATTCTTCTGATGCGTGCTTTGACCTGCAACTTTTGGCACTAATCTCTTTCTGCTTCTGCGCCCTGCGCCAGCTGCGTCAGCCAACGCGTGCTTGTTTCCTGCATCAGCTGCAACAGCCAACGCTTGGTCTGCAGTCGCCACCCTTGAGTTGAGAGCACGTTGCGCCCTTTGCGGCGCTTCTTTTGAGCCTGTTCGCCATTGCTTAGGCATGATCTTGACAAGCTGAAAGGGACCTATGTCAGAATGTCAGAAGTCTAAGCCAAACAGCTGCAGACGATTCAAGCCAAGCTCAACCCTCCCCCTTTAAACCATCCAATCTGGAAGCACCTTGAACTTGTTGGCCAGGGCGGCCAATTGTTTTGGGGGTTTACCTGGTATGAGTTTTGTCCAGGTGTTCAAGGCTTGCAAACTAGAGCTTGCAAGGAGGACTGCCGGCAGTCCGCCTACCAGCCTGGTAGGCGGACTGGGGCGATGGAAAGGCGGACTGGGAAACCCAAAAGGAGGACTCCCAGGCACCAAAGGCGGACTGGGAAACCCAAAAGGAGGACTCCCATCCCAACCGCTTTCCCACCTACCCAACCAGTCCATCATGGCTCATGTCGGTGCATGTTTTCCCCTCATGCAACCTCATAACAGACATCACTCAACGCGGTTCGTGTGACGCCAGAAACAACAAGCGTCAGAAGTACGAGTTGTCACTGTTTTCCATGACATGGACAATGACTAAAACAACCAGCAAAAATATGGATCTCCACTGCTTCTCCTCCATTTGTGGTATGACAACATCAAGAGTACAGAATTGTCTCCACTGTTTCTTTTCCCTTTGTGGAATAGCAGGCCCGTAGCGCTTCCCTTCCTGCCTGCAGCTATTTTTGCTTGCGCAGCTTACTTAGCTTACACAGTGGCTTCTGTAGTTCCTGCCCTGCATGTCGCACAGCGGTGAAGTTACTGAGCATCACTTGACCAAGCGGCTTCGCATGATTGAAGGAACAAGGAAGACGGAGGATTACATCTACTACAAGTTGCGCAAGACGGATGACATGCCGGACACTCCAAAGCCTGAAGCAGGCAACAAGGCAAACTGGGAAAGACGCGCGTTCGCTTGGAAAAGTGCCATGAGAGAGGTTTCCTTATTACGTTGAGCTGGCTGAAGCAGCTGGCGCTGGCTAGGCGAGGGGGCATGTGCTTTGAACATATGCCCAACCCGCTGCGATCATGCAGTCATGCGTTCTTAGGTTTAGCTCTAGGTGTTTGTCGTGGAAAAAGGCGTGACCTGATGATAAATTATAATGACATGATAAATGTAAATCTTATAGCTGTTGTATGATATGATACAGTGTTATATGATGTTATATGAAACAAAATGATGTGATATGTTGTAATAATATGATACGATATGGTATGAAATGATGCGACATGTTTGGAGACATGTTTGGACATGGTGTGGAGTGGTGGTATGAAATGGTAGTATGATCTGATGACATATTATCATGTGACATGGTTAAGCTTTATGATAAGGCAAAGTAAGATATCGTGGTATCATTGGATAGACAACCAGAAAAAGGAGCAACCCGAGAAGCCCAGAAAGCCAGCAACCTGGCAACCAGCTAACCACACCCCAGCTTTGTGTGGTCAAGAAGCCAATTTGACTCAACAGCTCACTTCCCTTGGACGACCTTGTGTAAACAACGGGGCTTCCCTGTTTCCCGCAAAATAGCGTTGACGGGGACGTATACTTCTGTATGGCAAAGTAACTAATCCGACGGAGTAACCAACTTGACTGGATTGCTTGCACACGGCTGATTGATTAGACGCTTTTCCCTCAAAAGGAGTGTTGATGTGAACCCACGCTTTTGTTTGGCCAAGTAACCAAGTTTGACTGGATTGCTCCCACACGGCTGGGGCACCCTTGGCGCCTTGAGCGCCACACGTTTTTTGGAAGTGAAACATGTGGGTTGCCGATTGGCAGAAAGCAGGCCGGCCAAACGAAGGTTGAAGAAGCCAGCGCGGTCGAGGAAGCCCTGTCCACGTCGCATCCTGCGCGAAGCGATCATTCTCAACAAAGAATCAAAGGCTGCTCTAGCACAGTGGAAATCAGTTCCACAAACTGGCGCTGTAACTCCTTCGCACTTTTCAAGCTGTTGCACCTTGCGCCTGTGCTGGAAACTAGACCTGCCAGGAGCCAAACGCGCCGCGGGTTCTCCCGCAGCCCTATTGTGAGATTCCTAGCAAGTTCCCCCAGGCATCCTGAGGCCCTTGAAGCACTTGTAAGCGCACACAGCCAGTTTCTCTCAACATGTGAGCACGAGGT